AGAAAACCGTTGACATAAAATGTTGTGAGTAAACTTGGAGACCTAAAATCTGTGTACAATATGTATAATGTATATACACTGAGTCTGAATAATATTTACTTCTTGTTTTTAATTTGTATCTATACATTTCCTGTTCTAATACTAATATGATGTTCTTGCACACTGAAGACGTGATGCTGCATCTGCACTCTTGGACCTAGGAGCATTTTCCAGTTGCCTTTTTCAGGTGCAAGCCTCAGTGCTACATAGGTCAAATGTATAGAAATTACATCCATGGTTTTTCTTCCAGTCCTCTTTTTGTTCCAATACAAATAAACCACCAGAATGGATCAGCACCATTCTCTCATAGATAATTTAGGTACAACTATGAAGAAGGTACTCAAACATAAATGACTGATTCATGAACATTTTACAGTTTCCACTTTAGCTCATGTTAATAATCATGGATCATTAATCCCTTACACCCAGTCCTCATTAATTTTTGTTTGATTATCACTTAAACTGAAGTAATTTCACAATGAAAAATCTCTGGTTTATGTTCTCTAAACATTTCAAATGCTCATACTGAGAGATATTTTCAGCTTTTTGCCCTCTGTTAAAAGCAGGGGACACAGTATCCTCCTAAAGAAATAAAATAGATTGGAAGGGAGGTACAGGCCATGAAGAGAACATGGTCTTAAAAGGGGGAAAGGCAGACTGGCAAGCTGGTTTTCTTTAGAAAGCTCCCATAGTCCTACCACAGCTACTGAAGTGCACAGGACTCAAGCACCACAGGATGAATGCATGAGCCAGTGCTTCCTCTGGAAAATCACAACAAACAACTCACATGCTGTATCCAGATGCATTCATTTCTGCAAGGTGGAAAGGGCTTCCTGGTACCTTCCACCCTTTGGTGCTGGTTGGGGCACCAGACCCTTCTCTCTCCATGAGGCAGGGCCAGCAGCAGGAGGTTTTACCTCCTCCCAGGCAGCCAGGCCCTGCCATCATCCAGGGAAGCATCTTGGGAGCCTCAAGAGAACAATGGCATTACTTCTTGTGTTGCACCCCATGGGAAGTGATACAGAGCCCATGGTGAAATTAATTTAGGAATTAACACCCCTTTGCAATCAGCAGAATAATTAACTTTCAGATTTGAGGGGATAAAGGTGTTTACAAATACAAACATGTTACTGTATCAGTTAGGTTACAGTATAAAGCTTCTCAAATGTGATTAAAAACTTCAATTTACAAGCACAAAAGTCTTCTTGTAATCATGAAATTATGATAACCTGGAATACTCCAACTAGTAGTCTTTCCTAATTGTCCAGTTTCAAATGAATGTGGCAGAATCACCTTCTGTTATTAGAAGGGAAAAAAGTGGAGCATTTTGCTAGTGAGCTTGATAATGTAGTTTTAAAACTCTTTGTTGAACTTTGAACAACATGATAACCAATACAAACAGCTGATGTGCACATTTGGAGATTTCATTAACAACATTACAAACAGCTGTTTTATAAAGCCCTGTACAGTCTATGAGCAGAGTGTGACCTTCCTGCCTGCCTTTGGGTAGGAAACTCTGTAAACACTGCTTTGCTTTTTTCTGTTGAGCTCTTGCTGCTGCAGTGTGTCCCTACATGATTGTAATCAGAAGCAATTCATGCATTAGATCCCTTCTTTGGCATGACTTTCCAGACTCACTGACTGCTCATTATAGGTCGCCATTAATCCTACACAGTCACATGACCAGAAATGCTGTGTTATATTATGAAATAAATGCACTCACAGTTACTATGACAGCCCTGTGTTAAACAATGGAGCTGCTTACAGTTTGATCAGCAAGAGTGAGGTTTCTGTAGTGACAGTAACCTCAGCAGACACTTCCCTGCAAGGTAACAGGGTCAGCAGGTGGAGTCCCTGTCACAGTGTGCAAGCACACTCCCAAACACAGCTCTGCAAACCTCAGGGCCTTGCTCCACAGCAATCAAGCTCCAGAGCTACTTAAAGAATGCCCCACAATGCAAGACAGCAAGGCTGAAAATTTCACAGTCCAAGCAGATAATCTGTTCTGCTTTCCCCACCAGCCCAAGCCTCCTGAGTGACCCAGAGCTCAGCCTTAACCTGAAGTCATGCTCCAGAGAAATTCCTACTGTGCTACCTAATCCATGACTAAAGCAGGGTAGAACCTGACCTGTCTCACCTCAGCAGTGGTGAGTCTGTGGGAGCTGTCAGTGAGCAGCAGCTTCTGGGACTGTGGCTGGAAAACTTCCTTTGCTCAAAGCTTGCAGAACCTAGGTTGTAAAAATATGGGCAGGATGGGATCCATATGTTAGCACATGCAAGGAGGCTTCACCTTCTACCATGAACTTTAGAATATCTTTCATGCTTGCTCTGAGTTAGTGGTCAGAATCAACAATCCATGTAAATGATCAATGAATCTGAGCTTGACAGTGACTGAAAAATCACTGGCAAATGTCTGGATAAACAATCACATTGTTTTGAGAAGACTATTTGGAATGCAATGTAAATTAATATATTACTTGAACTTCACTTTGCCTTGTCACTTTTTGAGCAGCAGTGTTAGCAAGAGAACAGCTGATTTCTAGAACAAGCAAGCCCCATTTACTCCTGTAGCACACCAGGCAAAGGATAAAGCTTTAAGGTTTTAATTATGGGTTTTGTTATTTTATATTTAAATTTTATTTAAATTTGAAATAAAAGCATATATTTCCCTATGGAAGAAGGCTGCTAGGTATTTGGTGTTGAAGTTCCTTGTCAGTTTTCCTAGGTTTTAATGGTTTCTGAAGGAAGAAAACCATTCTTGTGTAAAGGAATGCACCACTTAAGCTTTAGGTAGAGCTTTAATAGTCCATACAGCTTAGTGCAATCCATTAGTCTGAGTTAATTTTAACTAAGATTATAAGTAACTCAGTAATACTGAATTAGGGGGGGAAGTTTTGTGGGTGTGTTGTTTTGGGTATTGTTTAAAGTTTATTAGAGCAAAAGAAGCACAGAAAGTTGAAGTATAAAATACTGAAAACTCCAGTTTAAATTCCAGATTGGGTTTCAGTGCATTTACTAACTGTACACACTTTTACTGTGCTCAGATCTGTACTGCAGCATCTTCCAGATGTGCCACCTCTGACAGTGATAAATCACTGTAAAAACACTTTGCTTTTTATACTCTCATCATTGCAGTAATGCCTGCAGAGGTCACAGTGCCAGGAGCAATTCCTACCATGGTTTTGCTGTCTTTGGCAGAGCAAGGGCAGCTTTGTCCAGGGATTTTGCTACCTGTAGATGCTGATTACAGATCAGCACTGGCTTCACATATATACCAAGATTCAGAAGTGTTCTGTTGAACTGAAATTGATGAAAGAAATGCACTTAGACAGACATCAGCATGATCTGCACTGTTTAACACTACATAATTAAGTTTCTTTCTGGATTTTAATTTGTAAGACCATAGTTTCCATAGAAGGGTAGCAAATTCCTGATAGTTTGCATGCAAAAACCTTGAAGTAATTAAAAACAACCAAAATAGCTATATAAAGGGTTCTGGAACTGAAACTGAGTGATTATGTAAGCTAAATATAGAAAAAAAATAATCTTATTTAAAGAATGAAGATTACTTAGGGTCAGTGTTAGGATACTCAGCCTTCTTTGGGTAAGAAAGAAGGAACAGTTAAAATGAAATCTGAGTTAATCATTATGAATGAGGCCATTTTCCTGGCTTTGATCAAACAGGTAACTGAATGATTTCAGTCAGGTTTTTCTGTCTCCACTCCCAAGATACAAAGCAGCTCCTCAGCTACAGAAGAGATCTCTAATTCAGTCTTGGATTTTGGACTTCTCTAAAGGACACTTTAAACTTGTTGGGTTCACCTACATCCCATGCCCATTTCATACTCAAGGTCATCCTCCTGTTCTACTGCACTCTTTAAATCCTACTTTCTAATCCAAGCCCACCCTTTTTGGATTTGATTTTTGATAATCTTATGTGAAATAATCCAGCCCCTGTTTGTTACAGTGTCTTAGTTTGCATTCCCATAGTAACTACAAAGTCACAGAAACCCAGAATGGGTCAGGTTGGAAGGGTTAGTCGTCTGCTCCAACCTCCCTGCTCAAGCAAGGCCATCCCAGAGCACAGGGCTCAGGATTGTGTCCAGTTCGTTCCTGGATCACTCCGGTGAGGGACACTCCACAACCCCTCTGCACAATCTGTTCCAGTGCTCAGTCACTTGCACAGTAAAGAAGTTCTTCCTCATGTTCAGGTGGAACTTCTGTGCATCAGTTTCTGCTCATGGCCTCTTGTCCTTTTGCTCAGCAGCACTGACAGAGCCTGGCTCATCTCTGACATCTCCCTGCAGACACTGGCAGACATTGGTGATGTTCCCTCTGTCGCGTCTTCCCGAGGCTGAGCAGGCCCAGCTCCCTCAGCCTTTCCTCCTAGGAGAGATGCTCCAGTCCCTCACCCACCCTCGTTGCCCTCCGCTGGACAATAAAATAATTACACAATAATTTTTGTGTAATAACTACACTTACAGTGTATTACACAGCAGTTCACAGGGAGCGGGAACTACTGAGGCCTCGTTTCAGTCCCCCCGCCGGTAACAAAGCTCACTACGGACCATGAGTTTATCAGGAGCCGAGGTCAAATCAGACTCCCGGAGGTGTTGTTTACTTATCCCTGGCTCCCTGCACAGCTGCAGTATTTTGTCCCCTCTCAAGAGCGGCTACAGCAGAGATCCCCGGAGCGCCCTCGCACGGGGACGGTGCTTGGGAACCCCGAACACAGCGGCACCAGCGGCTCCCACGATGCGGGCACCGGGCGAGACCCGGGCGGAGCCGCCCCACGGCCCCTCCCTGTGAGGGCCGAGCCCCGCGGAACTACAGCTCCCGGCGTGCCCCGCGCCGTTCCCATGGCCACGGGCAGCCGGGCCCGCGGCCCGCGCAGCGATGCCCAAGGCCAGGTACCGGGAGCCGAGCCCGAGCTGGAGACCATGGATCGCTCCCGCTGCCCTGGGGGAAGGGGCTGGCCGCCGGGGAGGACGGCCTGGAAGCGGGAGGGAGGGCAGGAGTGCTAAAACGGGCCGTTCCGGCCTCTACCCCTAAAGCGAGCGGGGCCGAGGGCAGGCGGGGCACGCTTGGCCCTTGCCCGCTTGCTTCTGTGAGGGACCGCGCACAACCGGGGTCTGCAGGGGACCGCGGGCGGCCCTGAGCACGGGGGGCAGCAGCTCTCCGGCATACCGAGCGCAGGGCCGGAGCCTTCCCGAGCCCTCCGAGCCCTGCCCGGCCCCAGAGGCCGGCGGCTGCCGCAGGCTCCTCGGAAAGCCCGGCACGCCACACAGCCTCCTAATGGAGTCTCGGTACCACAGTGGGCTGCCCGGGGAGGAGCTGCAGTGACCGTCCCTGGAGGTGCTTTAAGGAAAGCCTGGACGTGGCACTTGTTCTGGTGGTGTTCGGTCACAGGCCAGACTATATGATCTCAGGGGTCTTTTCCAACCTAATTGATTTTGTGATTCTGTGATTAAATGTACTCCAGGCAAAGCCTCCCGCTGTACAGCGGGTACGTGCTAAGTACGTGCCACAGGTGGCTGCTGGGGTTATGGAGGAATGTCACCTCAGCTGGTTTGGTTAGAAGTATTTCGACAAGCAGAGAGCAGATGTGAAATTATAATAATCATCTACAGCACAATAACCTTAATTTAGATGTTTTCAGGAATTAGGGCCTAAGGTGTGTGTTTTCTCTAATTATTCTTTTCTTGCTTTGTTTTCTTCCAATTAGTGATACTTTATGGGATCTTGCTATAGCTGAAGTGGAGAAGAGAGAAAATCCTGATGATGATGATGATGTCAAGCCAGGGGAAGTTTGGGGAAAATCAATATTATTTATGGGAAACAAAAATGGGGTAATCTAAATACTGTACAATTCTACACTTTTCAAACATTATTTGTGTCAGGGAAAACATCTCATATGTTCAGATGTTAAAGTTCACTTAATTTTAAAGACATAATACCTCATGGTCTCATTCTGCAGAGGTCTAATTGATCAATAATGTCTATTTTAAGTACAGTGTTCCTATTACTATATTTGTCATGTCTATTAGTTTATACTTAAAATAATGGTAGAGTAACTAGACTCTGATTGAAAATTGGACTTGAGTTTCCACTGTAAGGCTGCAAGCAGTTACATGCATTTGCAGTTTTCTGCTACTTTATTATTGGAATGTTAAATGAATTTGACTTAGTGATACAACTTCATGCTTTAAAGACAGTACAGTAGAGTTCCTCTTTGTTTTTAATTTCCAGGGAAAGACCACTATCATACTGAGATGCCTTGAGAGGTATGTGTTAAATATTTTAGCGCAGTTTTCAGCTGTAGATTAAAAACCAGTCATATTGTGTGATAATTCATAATGCATGTATGCAGATGTGTTCTGTGACTGGTTGAGCACTTAGGAACGAACTTATTTCCCTCCATAATAACCTCTCAGGTGATCCTTTCAGTCCTTCTCCAGTCTTAGCTGAAATGACTCATTTCTTTGGGCTGGTGCTGCTGCTTCTCCTGTCTTCACTACCTGACACCTCCTGTCTAAAAGTGTGTCTTCTCTGTACTGCTGTCTCTAAGCCAAATTCTGCACTGACTGATAAATACAATTCAGTAACCATAGAATTAACTTCCTTTCTTTAGAAGATCTTGACAAAACTCAGTTACTTTTCCTTTAGGGAAGAGTCTCCAAAGCCAACATTAGCCTTGGAATATACTTTTGGCAGAAGAGCAAGGAGACATAATACAGTGAGTATAAAGTATAACTTACCATATCTTTATATATACATATATACACACCTGAAAATAACATAAAGAAACTCTTTTGCAGCCTAAAGATGTAGCTCATTTTTGGGAATTAGGTGGTGGAACCTCATTAGTGGAACTCATTCGAATACCAATCACTGTCCACAACATAAGGTAAGTGTAAATATTACAATTCCAGAGTTATTTGAGCTTTCCTTCAAACATTAGTAATCTCTAGACCTTTTTTTTTTGTGAATACCTCTTTCAGAGTGTAATCACTGTGATACCACTGTGCTTTGCTTTGGTCTTCCTTTTCATGCTTCATGTCCTAAATAAGTTCTAAGTAAGCTCAGCAAAATATGGAGGAAATAAGTTGGTCTGAAGTAGATAGAACAAGAAATACAGGAAAAGATAAGACATAATATCTTTATGCTCAGTAAAGAACAAAACAACAGTTTGGGGACATATGAAAAATAAAATCTTGCTTCCTACTTCCACGTGCACACATAGATGTTCTTTCTGTGACTGATCTTTTAGGGTGAAAAACAAGGCCAAAAACTGTGACAAAAAAGTCTCTGGATTTTTGGGATATGACCTCTTCATGCAAAAGTCATTTCCCAACAGAGAGATGATGTTTCCAGGAGGAACCAGAGCTACTGAAATTATTTGAAAACAAAAGGAAACAAAATTTTTGATCAAATTAAGAGAATGTACTTTAAATAATTTCATTAAAATAATGGATAGCATAAGAAGAAATGCATGAAAAAATGCATGAGGAAATGACAAGGTGATGGGGGGTGCTTTTTATGGTTTTTTTATTAAGGAAGATGGGAGTTGAAAGGGGAGAAAAGGATCAAAAGATGAGCTTTGCATTATGATGTATTGCTTTATTTCATTGGTATTGAGCCTTAACTTCTGTGGGGAAGAAAAAGGAGGGATATAATTTTTATCAGGTATATTTGCTTCTGTTTTGACTACTGAGATAATGCCATTATTTGCTGAGATAAGACAGAATAAAAATAAAACACTTATGGCATGTTAAGCTCTTTGTCTCTAGAAGAGCTTGGGAGAGAAAAAATTAAGTATAACTTTCCAACCCCTGACTAAATTAAATTAATTGACTTCTACCTCCATCAGTCTTTGCTTCCTTTTTTACTGATAAGGGATTTTCTGATGTGGAGAATCTTAAGATTCTTTGCTGGGATAGAAATGTTCTGTAAGAACAATTCACTTCTGTTCACAAGGCAATATTTTAACATGCCAGAAAAAATTCCACTACTTCAAAAAATATAAGTGCATTCTGCTGATTTGCTCATCATCGTACTCAAGCAATTTGCTTATTTAAAAGTTCCATAAAGTATATCTAGTTTCATGAGACAAAGTATATCTATATCAAGAGATTTTTCACCAGATTTTTCTTTCCCACAGCATTTTAAAATGAAATTGAACATTTAGTTTGCTTTGTAGCTTTTGTAATACCACTCTGGTCTGGAATCCCCTTTTTCAAGTCAGGTTAGAATGAGATAGAATAATGGCAGCTATTCAGATTACTGCATTTGCAATGACCTTTACAGGTGCACTTAAATGCAGCTGGTGTTTTGGGAGGCAGGGTTTTAGAAAGAGAGGACTTCAGATGTAAAAGATTTCCCATCAACAATCCATCTTTAAAAGTCTGGTAGTAGCTAAGGATGTCATGAGTACTCTTTTATCTTTCAGATGACTTTTCTCAGGCATCCATTCAAGGTTCCAACAAGCTGTCACAGTTCATGACACAGAATATTGTCCTTAACCAGGTTTTCTTCATTTCATACTAGAAAAGAATAATGAAAGTGGGGAACTTTCCCAGGTCTGCAGGGAATACAGGTAATAGTTGGGAAAGATCCTAGCCATTGGCCAACACTGCTTGGTCTGGGGTTGGAGATTTAGGAGATGGCAGGGATACATAACAGCAGAAATCCTCAGTCATACAGGAGGGAGCTACAGGGCTGATTTGCATATTTTACTGTTTGAAGACAGTCCCCAAAACAATGCCTTATTGAAAGTTTTCAAAATAATAACTCTGAACAAGAGCCAAGGGAAAGGTTTCTTCAGAGTGCAGAATATCCCTAAAAGCCATCTTGCTTTGCTATCACATTTATTCCATCTCAGCAGGTGGATGTTCACATTTGCAGTGCAGGTGTGGTTTTGTATGAAAACGCTGACTGCCTCATGTGCTAAATATGTGACCAAATAATGCCTGTTTCACAGGTCATTTGCTGTAGTTCTGGTCTTGGATCTCTCCAAACCTAATGAACTCTGGACCACTATGGAGAGCCTTCTGCAGGTCACCAGGAACCATGTGAACAAAATTGTAACCAAACTAGAAAAGACAAACCCTGAAGTAGCTGCTGAAATTAAACAGAGAATGTGGAACAATCTGCAGAGGGATCACCCTGTAAGTTACTTCTAATATTTTCTCCAGATGTCACAGGCCTTTATACAGTTAAAGATAATGCTTTAGAAAATCATAAACAACTCTTTTAGATTTTTATGCATGACTGAAAATCCATTTGATGTAGATGAACCTGTTCACTGGAAAATTATAGCAATTTAATAAAAATTCAATAAGAGCAGAAACAAGGAAAGAAGGTTTCTTATATCTTTTTTTGTTAGATATCTAATGTGATTGTTATGGCATGTTACACCAATCAAAAGAAATAGTTTTAGAGTAGCAGTTTGCTTTTTTTCCCCCTCATCTTTTAAAAATGAAGATGAAAACTAGAATGTACAAAAGTCATCTAGCAAGAGACTAGCTGAAGGTACAAATTTAAGAAAAGAATATAGTTATAACAGCCATCAACATGACTATATACTTTGCATTTATTTAAATGTCTATCACAAACTCAATGCCTTTTGATAATCTGACAACTAATTAAATTATAAAGTTTCAGAACTGTTAACATCAGTCCTTTAAACATAATTGCTAACTAAATCTCTGGAAAAGCTAAACTAGATTATGCACAATAGAAAGGAAAAATCATTGTGCGTTAAACCTCTGCAAATGTTGTGTGTATATAATGCATAAATAAGTATTCAACAATTCAAAGACCTGGCATGTAAATCTAGCTACTGTAACTTCTATAAAATGCTTCAACACAGCAAGTGCTTGTAGAGCTCAGAAATTTAAAAGTGACTTAAAATGGATGAGAAAGCAACATATGCAGCACTCCGTAGATTTAGCGTATGGGGTTTGATATTGGGATTATTTTGGTTTTTACTTTTAGAGAAGGTAATTCACAAAAAGATAACACCTACATGCACAAATAAATGGCAATAAATTATGACCACAGTGTCTAGTTTCATATAGGGTTCTACATATCAGAAAATTGCAAGCTTATTGCAATAAAGAAAAATAATAATGCTATTATTTGTTAAGAAAACTTGTTATTCTTGCACTGTAGGAAACACAGTTGTACCTTCTGAACTAAAATTTGTTTATCTTCCATTATCAAAAACATCGATAATGCAAATAAAATATTACATTACCATTTGGTTCTCTTCTTATTTTAATCATTGTTCAAAGAAAAATTGTGTCAGTTTATTAGAAGAAAATACTATAATTTATAGTCAAATTGAATTATATCTTAAGGAGATCTTTATGTGCCTTTCAATGGCTAAACATATTTTATTATAAAGAGGAATCAATGAAATACTTATATTTTTAAGGATTAAGATATATTTCATTGGCCTGGCTAAAGAATTACTTGCTATGATGATAAAACATATCAATTGCAGACCCTGTTTAGAAAGGCTGAATGCATCTAAACTACTCCATAGTCAAACATAAATTCCACAGTCAAAACATTAATAGGGTTCAATATACTAGTTTTAAGGTTTTTGATGTTATCCCAAATTTTTCTTCTTAGTTATGAAATGAAAACTTTTTTTTTTCATTTTATATTCTATATACTCTTTTGAAGTTATGATAGTTTTGCTTAAAGCTTTTTACTTGACAATGTATGAGTGAAGCTATTTCTCCTCTCCAAGCAGAGGATTTTCAGTATGTGCAGCCTCTGTCAACATTCTGTCAATTACCCTGTCTGTGAAATACCTGGGTTAGGAGGGAGCAGTTGGAGCAGCCTCTGCCACAGCTCATCTTTCCTGCACTGCTGCAGCCTCAGCAGCTTGAATCAATATTTGCCTGAACACACAAGGGGATTGCCTCATTTCATATGGACTACAGCAACCCTTCCAGATCACTTGAGAATTCTTGGAATTCACTTATTAAAATTTTATCCCACATTAGCTATTCAGCACCTAAGCTTTCACTTTTAGACCTGTTTTCCTCCATTGATACTGATTCACATTTCAAGATTGTTGGATGATGTTTCCTCTTTGTGCTGATATCAAACATTTGAAATTCACATTAAATATTGTTTGTGTGTTTGGAAAACATGATGTGGACAGGGCAAATGTGTGACACAAGCAAATAATTCAATTTATTTTTCTTGAGATTTTGTCTGCATTCTTTTAGATTTTATCCAAAGAATGTGAATGTGTCAAAAAGCCAGTTCTTCTAATCCATCCAGGCAGGTGTTCTATGAATACATGAGGTTTTTCCTCTCTTCCTTTCCCATCTAATAATGTAATATATAGTGTAAAAGCCCATTTATTCCACTGAGTGTTCTAACTGCTCAGAGGGATCACTTCCTGACCATTTAGGAAGAAAATGGGAAAATGGTAGAATATAATATGGATATTGCAATTAAGTTGACTCCTCTACCTTAAGGTTTGGAAAACGTTGTGTTCTGTGAATTTATTTTAACCTCTTTCAGTTGCTTTAACAGTTGCAATCTTTTACAGTTTGTTTCCAGAGCTTAACTGTCCTTTATCTTTTTAACAGGACAGTGCATTAGTTGACCCTTTTCCAATACCCTTGGTGATAATTGGAAGCAAATATGATATTTTTCATGTAAGTAATACTTAAGTACCTTTTTAATAATTAAATTATTCTCAGTAAATATTCTATATACTAAAATATTACTAATATAATAGTAATCTTTTGAACTAAAGTGTGGACAGCCAGTCTTCTACCACAAAAAAAAAAAAAAAAAATCTTTCCATCCAACAGCATTAAGGAAATCCTACTGTCATTCCTTCACAAAACACCCCCAGACTGATGATTTTTGAAATGTATGTAGAAAATGCTTCCCTTTTTGGTCTGCAGCAACTTGTGTCTCAACAAGAAAACACCACATGGATGATTTCCTTTTATAATGAGAGAAATCCAGCTCCACATGTCCCTTGTGACAGCAGCTGTAAGTTTATGGCAGTGGTAGAGGGGTGTATCTCAAGTCAGCTGATCAGATTTTTTTTTGGAGGCAGCTTCAGTCTGGAACTTCTTTTAAAGTACTTCCTAAGTTTCTAGAGACAAGTGAGAAATTGCATTTTTTATGGAGGACAGGAAAGAAATGTCATAGTACTGCTGGATTGTCTCCCAGGCCATAAAAATCCCTAACAAATGCATACTCACTGCACTTGATCATGAGAAACCAGGACTGTATATTTGATTTGTAGCAGCTGTGCTGGCAGCCTGTGCTTCTCTGGATGATACCTGGCTGACTCTCTGAGTTACTGAATTCTTTATTAATAAGGGACTTGCCTTCTCTTTATGCTGAGCCACGACCCCCTTAAATGGTTCTCATGTAATAAGGACAGAATGCCAGCCTGATTCCTGTGGGATTGGCTCCTGCAGGCATCACTGGGACCAGGTTTTCACCCATTTGATCCAGGGGATGCCATCTGTATGATCTTAGGTGAAACACATGGGTGAAAAGGTACTTGGATGCACCTTTCAAATCTTGCCGGTATTAGAATTTAGATAGCATATACCCAAAGATTTACTTAAATATTTTCACAAAAAGAAAAAAAAATCTTACTCTTCTAGTAGGCAGCATTTCTACTGGTAAAAATTTAAAACAATATCAAACAAATAAATTGAAAATTAAATGTGCATTCTCAATTTAAAAACTTTTCCTGGACTAACATATTGCCTGAATTAGGCTTCATCTGTAAAAAAGAAACAAAGAGAAATTGTGACATTTCTTTTTAGAGTAGGCTGTTACTGATTCTGTCTTAAGATATAATTATGCTGACAGCTGAAAGCCTTATATATTGTAGCTTAAGTGCACTGCAGTTTATATAAAAAAAAGAAAAGTTTTAACTGTAGTATTTTGGGTTTTTTTCTTACATCTGTGTTCCACTCTCAACTTTTTCAGGAGTTTGACTCTGAAATGAGGAAAATAATAAGCAAGACACTTCGATTTGTTTCACATTATTATGGAGCCTCATTAGTGGTAGGCATTTTCACTTTCTACTTAAGAATAGACAAGATGAACAATATTTTTGTTACAAAACAATAATTTTTAAAATAGTACTATAAAACTCCTAGAGGAAATGGGATTTCATTGGTTTTACAGTAGCTTTCTTCATGAGGCTATCTGTTGAACAAGTCACTGTACTGGCAGGGATGGATGGACATGCCTTGTGAGCAAACAAACTACACAATTCCCAGTATCAACAAACACTGAATGAAAACAGGTACCTGTAAGCCACCTTGGTTCCTGCATTGAGTTTACTGCATCCTGGGCAATTCTTTTTTTTTGTACCAGAAAGGAGAATGGGCAAAAGTGATTGCCTTGATTGAATTAGAGAACTGAGCCTTTTGGTAGAAGCATGAACTTACATCAAGTGACCAAGCTTCTGTAGGTTTAAAATCATTGGCTCATTTTCACAGTAGTTTATGTATAACAGGTTACTACACTTAGGGGAGTAATCTGTTATGCAGATTACTATACTATCCTTCTTGAAGAAGGACAGGAGCTTCCTTACAAAAGTGGGTAGAAAGATGCCAACGTGAGAACAATGAAGTATTTATTTTAGTTTGTCAGATCATTCTCTGAGTAAAGACAGAAACATGCATGCTGGGATTCACAGTCCAAAACCACTGCATTTTGGACTTGGACATCTTCCTACTGTGCATCAGAAGATGGGTCTAATTGTATCAACCATCATTTATGTAATAAATAATATTTAATAGTAGCTTAGAGATTATCAAAACAACTTATGTTTACTTTGAATACTTATAATCCCAGCATGTCCTTTTGCATCCACGTAAAGCTTTTTTCACTCTGACACATGAATTTGTCTTTTGTTAACTGAGAGTACAACTGTCTTGGTTGGAGTTTTTTTAGTATTTAAGCATTATTGTAATTAAAAAATAGAATACAAATCTCTTTGTCTGCTTAATCCTGATTGTCATTGAAGTGAGAGGGAGAAACCTAATTTCTCACAGCACAGATCTGACTTCTTTCTCAAAGACATGAATCTGTTTGGATACAAAAGCCCTTAGACAAGAAGAAGCCCTTAGACATGAAATTGTTTGAGAATATATTCTGAAAATTGCTTTCTGAAAAATCTGTACCATTCTGCCACTTTTAAGCTGTTTTTATGACAATTATGTAGTTATTAATTACATTTCTAACCGTTTATGGTATTCTGGATAATATTTAATGCAATTTAAAATCTTAACTCAGTCTTGGGGAAAAGAACTTTGTCTCGTAATGTGCATATTTCAAAAGTTTTGAATCAGTATTTTAAAAATTATTCTTTAATCTTTATTTATTCTACTTTTTAATCTTTCTTAATATCTAGTAACAAATACATTAATGTTTTTGAAAGGGAATGTGAGATTTTTACTCTAGTCTATTCAGTGAACATATACCAAATTTATTGGGGTCAGGTATTAATTAGAAAGGCTCTGTCCTCTTTGTAGATGGCAAAGTGCAGCATACCTCCCCATGATGGGAGTTCCTAATGTATATTTTGTTTTCTGATTCATTTAGTTTACCAGTAAATCTGAGGCTCTCCTGCTGAAAGCCCGTGCTCTTATCAATCACTTGGCATTTGGCTACGATAAAAGGTAACGTTATTGTTTAACTATTAAATGTCTTGCTCAGAACATAAAATTACTTAATAAAAACACTTTAATCATAATAACTTTTTTTTAAAGTATTATCTCTGAAAGAATTTTGCTCATGGACTTGGACTTCTGTGACTTATCTGCCTATCTCTGCTACGAACAGTGATAACTCCTTAGTTTTGATCTCAGACTGATAAATGAAAAATGAGGTTGCCACTGGAATTGAGCATTATTTTATTTACATGATTTATATGCAAACCCCAGTAAGACTCTAGTCTTGTCTAGAATAATCTTGGGGTTTTTTTTGTTGATTGCTAAATGGTCACTTGATACATTTTCTTTTTTTCTGTTTAGCAAGTCTGTATCAGTGGATCCCAGCAAACCTCTCTTTATACCAGCAGGCCTGGATTCCATGAGTCAAATAGGTTAGAACATTTCCTATTCGTTTTTTATTGCTTCATTCTTTTAAAAAAACATGAAAAACATTTTAAGCAAATAGATAAATTACAGCACATCAGTATCAGTTTTAAGAGATTACTGAAGGAAATAGCTTCTAGATTTTTAAATCATGATTCGGTATATTACTGAGAATTATTTGTGCAGGTTTGTTAGGTAGTTTAATAAAGTCTCTGGACTATGTAAAATATTAAAGTATACCAATAAGCTTAGATCTGAAAGAAAATAAAATATACAAAACATCTCAACCCATTTCATGGTAGGAGATCAGTGTTTTTTTCAAAGAATGTTTGAAAAATATACAAAACCTTTCAGCCCATTTCATGGTAGGAGATCAATGGTTTTTTTCAAACTTGTTGCAGCTTTTCAGTGTAGAAGGTAAAATACCAAATCAGATGGTTCATTATGCAAAATTATTCTGTGATTTATGTTGTTATGACAACACACTTGTCTTATGTGTGCTGTGATCCCCAGGACCACCACCTGCCTCTGACAGTGATCTTGGAAAGATGCGTGCCAACACGCCTTTGGAACTATGGAAAAAAGTATTTGAGAAAACATTTCCTCCCAAGGTAGGAATGGATATGCCAGGCTTACAGCTGCTTTTCTCACAGAACAGCAGCAATAACCCTGCTCCTTGCTGTCTTTCCAGTGCACTGACTGGGATTTTAGTCTCACTTAGCAGTTCTCTTTAATACATTTTTAAAAGATAAAGGCTTGTATGTAGTATTGCTCCTACATCTTCAGTCACCTTCCTACATTTAGAAATTATGAAAGATGCTGTTCTCAGTATAAAATGTTCCAACAAGATAAAGACTAAACTTCTTAGAAACTATAGAGAAGTGTTAGTTTTCATGTTATTTTTCCTCATAGCCTTTAAAAACACAATAAACGTCTCCTCCTGCATCCACCCCTCCAAGCACCCCCTGAACTCCCCCTGAAGCAGCTGGAGAAATGAGTACACTTCTCATCTGGCAAGCTCCATGGTTGTTCATCAGTGTATCAGTCTAAAGATTTAAACATTTGCCAAAGAGATTCACAGTCTTCTATTTTGGTTCCACAGGAGGCTTTACACTTTGAAGCTATTTTTATGCATTGTAACCCTCTTTTTCCATTGCCTCACCTAGGAAGTAGAATTCTGCTTTATTTTATTCCATCACTGGTATTTTTGCCTTGTTGCTACTTTCCATTTGATATGATGAAGGAGAAATGTGCAGGACAACATTTAAAAACCCCTCCTCGTGTGATAGTTTTTCTTGCTATTAGTGTGTTTGCTTCTTTGGAATTCAAGTTGTAGTTTACTCAAGGCTAGGAAATGAAAATGCAGATATTTGGCAAAGATAGCAATCAGTTTCTAGCTATTGAAGTAATGCTTCTGATAACCAGAACTGAATTCAAATAATGAGTATTAAATAGTTTATCAAGGGCACCCTCAACTGTGCCCTAACATCATGGACCAGAAAGGATATTTTCATTTTGATGAAAGAATAATAGCCAACCACCACATAAGAATATTTTCTGCCCTTTAGAATCTAGCTGTGCTTTTATTTTTTCTTCATTTTACTGACAGGTATTTTTTAACTAATCTGTGTCCTGTAGCACATAATTGTTCCATAAATGCAAGCTTTTAATATATTGGTATTAAAAGCAAATACTTTTATTCCTATAGTGTGGCTTTTTCTTATTAAAAGAAGATAAATTGTATCATTTGGGGTTTTGTCTTTTCTCCTTTTAGAGTTTCTCTGATTTACAAGATACCAAGGACCCTGCACAGGATAGTCAATATGCTGAATATGAAGTTGATGTCATGAGAGCTCAGAAAAACCAGGTGTGTGGTAATTCTCTAAATGCTGTTCACAGTCAGGTGTTCCAGAACCACCAGCACTGCTGAACTAATAGTATATACTCATACCTCCCCTTTTTGGCCTTAAATAATTTCAGCTTTAGATTTCAGCTTAGGAGTCGGCTGTAAGGTTTTTTTCCTCATTGTTAGATACTAAGCCAGTAGACCATTGTTAGATCTCAAAGTTTTGGCTCTGAGTTTTTTTAGAAATTATAATTCAAATTTTCCCTCAAACTGTACTTTAAAATTAACTCACTAAAATAAACTTTGAAGCCTTCTTCTTGATATAATTTCCTCATTTCTTCACTCTGTACTCTCATTTGAGTGCTGACTAACAAAGTATAGGAAGCAATATCAAGGTCTGTGGTGGGGACTCTTCTGTCTTTCTCCTTCAAAACTTATTTAAACCGGAAAGGTACTGAGATGATAACATTTCTAACTTGAATTTGCAGGCTATGGACATTTTATCTTAAATGGAGTGAATGGAATTGTTCCACAGAGTGATGACAAGTGGCTTAACCCCTGAATTCCAGGAAAGACCTTTAATGGGGAATAGGTCTTCTATTTTTTCTTAAAAATTCTGAAGTGTTTCTGCCTTTCTCTAGATTAGTGAGGAATTAATTTTATAGAAAAATTCTGTGGCAGCCTAGGTGAAGGTGAAATGATTGCCTCCCAGCTAGCAGTATATAACATCAGCTGAGTAGCAGCACTGTATAGAACAGTTTGCATCAGGATGGGTGTGTTCATAGGTATGGGTCTGTTAAAATCAAACCAAGATTTATCCAAAGAATAAAGCAATTTCAAAAATCCCCTGCAGCCTTTGAACCTGCACATTACCTGCAATATCCTGTTAATGTAGGTATCAGTTCTGAATTTCTGTCACATCAAGAGCAGTCCTAGAAATCATTAACATTTGTAAAGCACACTGCTTTTGGAATTTATAATACAAACGTACTCAGTATAGCTACACATCTCAAAATAACTATATAGTGTACTAGGTTTGTTATTTTTACATAATAATGTGTTGCAAAAGAAGATACTGGTATGTATTGATTAAATCATACAGGAAATTATTAATTTTCTGTTTTTAAATAAAAGAGACAGGCTTTTAGAATCTTAATCTGTTCAAGGGCATTGCAAACCATTATAGCTTCTTTTTGTTGGACTACTACAAGTAATTTGAGCATTAAAGAGAAAATTACTTCTGTTATCTGCAGTTATTTCCTAAGTTTTTATCAGGAAGTTTAATTTTTACAAGATTATTTGCACATTATTAAAATGTTTTATACTAAGAATTTGAATTGCACCAAGCTAGAAATACATATCTAAAAGAAAAGAACTTTCTAGTTGCAATGTTTCTTGAAGTGTCCTTCAGTTTTCCAGTTCATTGGAAAGCAGCACAAAAATCCTATTTTTTAAGCAACTTTTTAAATTCCTCATGTGCCTGACATTCTTTATAGTGTCTCATGGTACCCACTGCATAGGAGGACCAGTATTTTAAGATGGTCAATATGCAAGGTGTTGCTAATGAAGTCATGGGACCTAATGCAAAATAAGAAGTATCATGTGATGCCAGTGAATGGTTTCATGTTATCATTTTTCTGGGTTACTTTCAGTTAATTAATGTTACTTTGGACGACAGATGATTGCCTATTTGCTTATTTATCTCAAAGATAAGCTTCAAAATAAAAAAAAGCACAAAACCAGCAAGGGAAGCAAAACACAGCCCCTGTCACTGCATCTGATAGAAGAACCAGCAATAGGTGACTGACTCAGTGCTCATCAGGACTGCTCGATAATGCCATAAGAGATTTAGAGATAACTGTGGCAATAATACAAAATTTAAATAAATCATTTCCAACTTTGTAATTTTGATTGAAGGATTTGCCTGCATTCTAGCAGAGTAAAAGATTGAATTCGAATTCTTGAGTATAAAATAAGAAAACAGTTTTAAAAAAAACAATCAAGCAAGTCCCTGGCTGACTCCAAGGTACTGTTAGCCAGCATTTATCTGAGATGCTGTTTGGCTGTAGAAGTTTAGAGCATTCTGACATAACTGTTTTCTTTCAGACCAGCTTATTTTGGCTCCTTAATATTTTCAGAGTTAACTACGACATTTCTTTCTTTCTTAACATTTCTTTCTTAACATTGTGGCTCTGGAAAGCCCTCTGAGGCTGTCTTTTCCTCATTGTGCCTTCCTTCAAGATGGAGCACATCTCTCTTTCTCAACTATATCTCTTCACAATTCTTTTCCTAGTTCTTGCCCCACAGACATACATAGCACAGGTTTATATTAAATAGTGCTGTTGGAATTGTTTGCTGCTTTTCATTCCCTGTAGTTAAGCTCTGAGAGAGAACTCAACCCCAGGGACCTTTCTGAAAGTTATATCTCTAATGTAATTCTTAACTAGCAGATTTTCTCCAGGAATTACTGGAATTTTGTGGGTTTTGCAGGGCTTTCAAGATCCCAAAAAAAAAAAAAAATCTGCATAGTTATTAGGCCTTCAATGTCTAGGTTTTGGTCAATTCTTCATACATAAACCACATGGCAAACTTGTCATCCTCCATCCATTCCCCATTAGCTTTTTGGCTTTTGATGCTTTCAGGTCACCTTAATTTGGTTTAACACATAACCTGAATAAGAGTGAGATCTTTTAAAATAATGTTTCTGATTAGAGCTACATGTCTACTCCTGCATCAGTGAGCACCTATGGGGAGCATGAAAGTCTTGTTCCTTAGTTCCTTCTAAGTGTTTGTAGCAGTGAGAGCCTGGCACATGGGAATGTCTGTTCTCTTTCCTTTAGAAATGCTTTCTGCCACAGATGTAAGTGGCAGACTTACTCTAAGGTGTCTTTTTGAAGGTTTTTCTATGTTTCCTGATATGCCTTCACTGCTAATGCTCAAAATAGGTGCTTGGACTTTTTGATCTGGACATTTGACTGCAGCTGCATTCATTGATGCAACAGATAAAAAAGCTCAGCCTTGAGCTCAATGACCTGGAGAGCCTCCTGCTCATGTGCTTCAGAAATGATGGCAGTGCCAAAGTTCACAGTGACTGGGCCTTGTTACACAGAGCTATTACTTCAGGGATTGCTGCCAGCTCTAGCTGAAGCCTCATGCCATGAGGTGACGTGAAAAAAGGACATGCCTGGTGCCATTTGGTGTCAGCTAGCAAGTCATGGAAGCAGATCTTAATGAACAGAGATTAACTGTTAAGTCTTAACTAACTGTTACGACTTTAAAAAGTCATAAACACAAAAAGATTCTGCATCTCACAAGGCAGAATAGTTGCATTTCCCCTAAAATTGCAGCAACCTAATCAACTCCCAACCAACAGCTGCAGATCTGCAGCTGACATGAGGACTGTGCTGGCCAATAGACTGAGAGCCAGATTCTTTCAGCATACTTTGCTGCCATTATCATATTGCTGAACTTCAGGAGACCATTTCAGTCTCATTCCACAAAACAGAAGATTTCATACTGTGCCATGAGGCCTTGGTCCCACAAATATAATACCTTCATCTGCATAACAGAGCAGTATCACCTTTCATTTCCTCCACAGGAGGACACATGCTAGTCTTCGTAAAAGAAGTTATTTAGAATATTTACTTAGCTGCCAAGAACAAGCTTTCTTGTTTTCACATGAAAGCATGTCCAAATGGGTAAAAAAGACTTCATTTTTAAACCAAATTAAAGAGCATCATTAGAGCACTGTTATTAAATTTTCTACCAAAGTTTTTGTCCTTAAGACTTTTAATGAATGTTTCAGTACTTGGTTGCTTTCACCATGTTCCAGATTGAGGGCACTTCCAGTAAGAAACTGCATGAAAAGGAAAGTTGAAGCCATATCAGTCACTCAGAACAGAGGAAATGCAACAATTAAGGCTTTTCCTACAATCTTAATTTTTCCTTCTTGTTTGTAGACATTGTAGTATTGTCTTTAATTACATGATCATGTACTATTTTGCTGATGTCTCAATTCAATTGTTCAGTATTTCTTTTCACCATCCTTATTCTTTATGTACCTTATTTTTCAACCTGCCATTCAGACACTTCAATGAACATAAAAGTATTAATTTTTTTTTTCTCTGAGAGTGTGTGGTAATGTTATCTTATCTGAGTTCCTCACAAACATCAGTTAAGTCTTTCTTCCCAATCCCTTTATGAGATTAGGTGTGATCTTCCCCATTTGACAGATGAAGAATTTACAGAAACACAGAAGTACAGAAGCATTAAGGTTTAAAAAAAAATGTAAGCCCACTTTATACCAATGTTGAGATATCTGTGATAAGTTGCTAGCACTAATAACGTTTAAAGCATTCAGATCACATTGAAAGCACATTTAAATTGCAATTATTTTTCTTTGTAAATCTGATCTCTGCCCCCTACGCTTGCACCCACAGAATAATCGAAGCATAATGCTAGCATGAAGATTTTTTGCTGAAAAAAATCTTTAGAAATGACTCCAGACAGTACACACCCGCACATAAAATTCAGCAGAGGAAACTGTTGTTTGTAATGGTGCTAGAAATTCCTATTATAAGCTTCAGTGCTCCCAGTTGACTGACATGAGGTCATTTGTGTACCTTGCTAGTACTCTGCTGATCTAAAGTACAGCAAAATGTAGCTCCCTACATGACAGCAATTGTGGCAAAATTCATAGCACTTTTAGGATAATTTTGTTAAATACAGAAATATACTACACCTTCTCTGCAGTGAAAAGTGTTTGTACATACATACATTTGCCAAATAAATACATGAAGTTTCTGGAGACTTTTAGTAATGAGAAAATTAGCTTAACATGTATATATGTTTCTTTCTAGGAACTTGAACAATACAAAAGAAATGCCTCTAAATCCTGGAAAGAAATGGATTTTGACTCTGATTGATGAACTGCTCTGTCTTCGGTTTAACACCATTTACAAAACTATTTTTATAATTTTTACATTACATTAGCAATTTCATCTGATGCAGTTGAAACTATATAATATCAAACTATGAAGTTGGTACTTATTGAGCATTCCTGTTATTTTTACAAAAGGAGCTGTTTATTCACTCAGTCCAAATTAATTTATCTTGGCACTGGCAAAGAGTTTTAAAAAGTGGGGACAAAGGAATTCTAGATTGCTCTCAGGTGGGTTTGTATATGAAGACTGACATTAGTCAGTTCAACCTAATTTATAACACATTATTTGATTTACTTTTGAATACTTCTACCCTAAGCATATATTTAAATATAAACAAGTTTTCACACCCAGAATATGAAATTGTGTAGTGTGTTAGGCATCTTTTTGTAGTTCAAAACCAAAGCTTAAGAAATACTTTCATAATTGTTTGCTATATTTGAATTAATAAAAAACCCCTAAAACTGGCAGAATAAAGTGGAGTTAAAACCTTCTCTGACCTGAATTCAGAAGTGTGCATTCTCTCTATCACAGAATCATACAGTTTAATCCAGGACTTACTTCTTGCAATGTATAATGTCCCACAGTTTAGAAGATGGATGTTTCTGTCACATATTCAAATGCTAGGAAGTCAGTCTAATTAATTTGACAGATACTTGGTTAGTGCTGAGAGAATTATTGATTCACATTCAGCCTCCAGCAGGAATGGGATTTTGCCCATGCACACCTCACTAGTGTGAGATGCACTGAGTGTCCTGAGAATAGCCAAGCCAATCCAGATTAAAGCCAGAGGTGTCTCCTGAGAGCTCAGACTTGTCAGAGAGTGAATGTCTGAACAGTCCCTTGGCAAACTAGATCAACCCTATATGCTCATCAAAATGGGAGAGACAGACTAACCTGGTATCCTTCCAGCTATTTAAAGCTATTTGTTATTTTTAACATATTCGTTCACCAGATGTTTTTCTGAATACAACATTTATGTCTCAGAATATTTTACATAAAGATACTAGAAAAATACATTTAAGTGGAAACACTGTATTACCTTGAGGATTGGATTTAAAATTCCTTGTTATGAGCTGCCTCATCTCAAAACTATCATATAAAATGAGCTATATCATTACAGAATTTTAAGATACAAATATACTTACGTCCTTGGAGAAATCTATCTCTCTGCAAAAACTAATTTCTGCACAGAACATGAAAATAAGGTACAAAATTTAGGAATTCTGTGTCTGCTATGTTGTCAGTTTTGAAAGGCCCATGAGAAAAATTTCCAAAGATGAAAATAGCATTGCTTCTGACAAACAACTTTCATACTTTTTCCCTAGTGAAATTGCCATTTTATTAAACAAAACCAAAACATTATTAAACAAACATATTTTTTTCCTTGTAATTCATAAACTGCTTCCAAAACAAGATTAGAACTTGACAGTCAAAAGAAAGAATTGATATAAATAACCTGTCTTCACTGATTTACTATCATTTACAAGGCAAAACCAACTTGGTTATACTGCTTCAAGATCCTGTACTCCTCAGTTGCATAGTGTGTATAAGATTAAAGTGGAGTGAGTTCTTGATTCTGTCTTTACACATATTTGGTTTCTTTCCTCTCTACAAATTCCTCAAACGGTATCAAAACAAGACATAAGACTGAAAATACAATCCTAGGAATGAGATTTACTAGCAGTTGAACCCCTCTATTTACTAGTAAATAGGGTAGTTTACTAGTAGAGTACTAGTAAATTTACTAGTTTATTAGTAGTGGTTAAAAAATAAAATAGTGGGGAAAAAATTAGAGCACCATTGCTACGTTGTTAAAAATTAGCAGCAGTAGCTGACTAAATTAAATCAGAAAGCCCTTTACAACATGAAATACTGTTGATTATGGCTGATCTGGAAATCAACCAGAAGAGAGGGGTGGGGAATACCAATATCAGGAGTCATTCACACTCTTAAGAGAACATTGGTTTTCAAGGTGAAAAGAAACATGAGAAGATGAATGTGTTTTTATACGTGTAATCATTTAAATTCTATATAAAATCCAACAATATAAGCCTTCGACCATAATATATTAAAAAGTATACTTAGAGACTGTTGGAATTGCTACCTTTTCATTGTCAGTCAGTGATTCTCTCTTAATTTGAAGCACAGAATTGCAATAATGGCAAGTACTGGTATGAAAGCATAGAGTATGAGGAAATCAGCTGTGAACCGGGACAGTGCCCCGGGATAGTTCTCTTCAATGAACCCGACGCCTTGAGAGAGAACACATGCAGCGTTATTTGCAGTGGAACTGTTGCCTTCACCTGCCAAAAGAAACAATTTCTTCAGTAGGTAAATCAGTAAAATTAAAACTCAGACTCCAGTCTCTTACTCATGCCTTAAATACACCTCTTTCTGACATCACTTCCATGAAGAACCGTACCCTCAGCAGTATTTCTCATCACCATGGAATAAAACCAGACAAGCCCTGTGTTTCTGCAGTTAATCCATGACACACTTTTTGAAGGCAAGAACAAATGGTCACTAGGAGCTCTCTCTTTTGTTCATGCCAAACAAAGATTTATGGCTTTTCAGACACATTATCTGGAGTGGCATCAAGAACCAAAGATGCCCCATGTGGTAGACTTACTGTGTTCATATGTGTTGAGGGTTCCAAAATGCAAGAAATGGTGACTGTCTGAAGGGCACATTAAAAATGAGGTGTTCACTGGTACTAATAGAGTCATGGATTTGTTTTCTAACTGTTGTTGATCTTGTAAAAAAGAGATGCAGGAGAGATTAACAGATAAAAATATGCAGCCTTAGAGAGGAGCACAGACACCTGGCTACAGCACCCCAAATATCTTAGGGTAGGTTCCAAGCTGTAAGTTTTACCCCACTAATGTGTATTAGCTCCTAACCCTGCCACCCTGACTGATTCTCTTGTTTTGCAGCAAAGCACAGCCTGACACACCCAAGCTGCTCAGTAAATACCATGGAAACACATTTGAACTGAAGCCTCTCTAGTATTAAGAGGAGATACTTGGTCAGCTGTTACCTCTCAATACTCCCTCCACTGATGTTTGATCTTAGATTATGCAATTTTCTTGATGTTCTATTTGTGAATATTGCACAAAAAAAAATAATTCCAGACTGTAATAAACTTAGCTTCCAAAATTCCTCCAAAGAGGGGATGAGAGGTGAAAAAGAGGAAGATGGAAGTACTGGAAGAATGAAAAATGGCTGGAACAAAAGAATCAAATTCTGCTCTAGCTTAATGATGTGGCATTATAGTCTTCACTAATTAGTAAGTTCTTTTTAGCAACTCAAAAGTTACCTTTATTTTATCAGGATACATGTACAAAGAAGGAAAATTAGCATCAACATCTCATTAAAATTATTTATAATGGACTTTTTTTTAACACTTACCACATGTGAAGTTTAAGCCATAAAATTCATTGACTACAAGGATTTCGCTGCTGTATCTTTGAAATGTAAGAAAACTGAGTAGTTTGAAAGGTTTTGGCATTTCTTCAATGGTCCTTAAAGAAACAGAGAAGTTAAGCTGGCTTTTGCTACATACCAAGTGACCCCAAATTAAAATAAGCTCTTATTGTTTGTAACTTGTGACAAAAACAATTTTTGTCTCTACCTGTAAGGTTTTCAAACATAAAGTCCAATTTTAGGGCTAAATGATGAGACAACCATGAAGGCTGTCCCTGACTTCGGTACAGTGTCACAACATTCAGCCCTGACTTGTTTATGAACAGTCACAAAGAATTCTATGTTTGTTTGCTGTTCACATGGCAGTGATAAACTGAAAATGACAGGACCCAATATAAACCTTACTTGCAAAAATGACTTGCTTTCCAAGTAAGAAACCATCATCCCTCCCTCCATCTTCAAAACCAAGTAATACTGAATAGGAATTCATTGCCCCAGTAATAACAAAGCAAAAATGAAGCAAAAATAAGGAGAAGAAACATTCAACAAGACAGGGCAATTTCAGCATCTAACAAACTTCAAGACTTAAAATTCAACAACAACAACAAAAAAATAACAGGCAAAAACCCCAGCAGCCTAAGTTTCAATGCTATTTTTAATGTCCTTCATTGCTTATGAAGATCAATCAAAAAGATTCATAATAGTAATGATCAAAGTCTGTGCTGTAAAATAAGGTCAGAAACCACTCTAATGCTTTGAAGTTATCACTAAGGCATTAGACTACGGTAGCAGGAATAAATGTCTTTCACTATAAACACCCATCTTCCTGAAATCAGGCAGGGACTAAATAATTGGACCTTAACCTAGCTTTGTATTGTAAGTATGAGCTGAGATCTACTTTAAAGAGACAAAGCATCATCAACTTTGTGAAGATTCAGATGGTTTTCTTGAGGACAACACCATGTGTTGTTAGGCTTACTACATTTTCATTGGGAGGGTTTCAGGTAAACATATCATACTTGCTCAATATCTTAGGAAAGCTGCTTTTAACAACTACACACTTATTCTGGTATGTCCCTCAAAAAACTCAGTAATTTCAGTATTGACAAATACAAGGAGGAAACTGTTCAAACTTCACACAATTAAAACACAAACCCATCTATTTACACAGTAATAGAGCAAGTGGATCAAAATTTTTCTGCATATTTACTGCACTACTCAATAATTTTTATAGATTTCAGTCTGTACGGTAGAAAAAGGGACTGAAAAGTTTACTGGCTAAACTGGATAATTATACTGGTAACATACTTGAGAGCAATTGCTTTTTTAAACCAGCATTACCAGTGTTTAATTTCATAAGTTCCAGCAGTTACTAAAAGATGTAGAAACACAGATTTTTGGTGGGCTCCTTCAATGAGGACAGCATTTCACATCATCATGTCAGCATCAATAAAAGAATTCAGATGAGCTGATAGATATTAATTTTTCAGTTTTATCTTCAATGTATTTGCAAAAACTGGGGGAAATCTTCAATATTTTTGTTGATATTTAAAGATACTAAGTGTCTGGTTTTGTGTTTAGTACAAGGCCCAACAAGATCAGATAGTTCTGCCTCTGAAGGAGCACAGCTGCTCTTGCTTTTCCATCGCTACCTGTGCATTACTGGATTTCTTCAAAACCAACTGTTCTAGAAACTCTTCCACATCAATGTTAACAGCAACACTGTAACAAAGGAAGATTGTTTCCTACCTTACTAGTCCCGTTCCCACTATGACACCAGCTGAGTTAAGAAGCACAATGCTACTCTGGACTACATTTGGATCTTGAACCATGCCAAGTATAACAAGTGTTATCAGTTCACCAATCATGTGAGATGCTAGGACAACAGCAAAGAAAATTCCAAATCTGGAAGCATCAGGATACAATCCTATAGTCCTGTACAAAGATGAGCAAAAGAACAGTTAAAAAACAATGTTTGGGTAGTAAACTTGAAAAGTAGCTTTTACTTTTGTTTCTATTTGGGTTTTTTGCAGTTATAGCTCATTAGGTGAAGAGTTTATGCCTTAATCCTTAGTGTATTGTTTGGAATCTTAACACAAAGGACATCTACTTACTATCACTATGTAAGTGCAGATACACGAGGTTTTCTCCATCTAGATTGAAGAGGGTTATGCAAAGATGTAATTCTTGTAGAAACCCAGGTTTTTTGAAGACAATCACCATGGCTTTTCTATTCCTTAAACTAACCTGCTGCTTCTTGTAAAGTCTTTGCAGTGGGAGTCATTCGTGTAAGTCACATATTTAAAGAACATCTTTATGCAGGTAATTAACAGATGGGATTTTGCACTTCTGATAATGTGCAAGCAAACATAAGCATGGATATACTCAATTAAATGAAAAACTAATTGAATTCACCACCCATGTAATTCACACCAAAGCAATTTCCCCCATACTCCTAATTCTTTAATGCAACATGCTGTTCTCAGTTTTCCCCTAGTTAACCCAAGGGAAAGAGTCCTCTCAATCTTTACTCAAAATTAAAAAGTTAAGAAAAGCCTGCAATTGCCTGACAAACTTAATTCAGCCTTATAGTGTATGTGACAGATGACAAAACCCTTTATTACACTGTGACACATTACTCTTTTTCCAAAATGCCTCATACTAAAATTGCCTCACACTAGGTGCACACTGCATGCTTTGCTTAGCTCACAAGCAGAAATTCAACATTTAATTTTCTTTTTTTTTGTTGCTCAGTGCAAGACCCTATGGGGTTTTTTTTTAAAATCCACTATGTTCAAATATGGTCTTAAAAGAGAAATATCATTTTTTTCATAGGCTTTCCTGTAGTGTTTCTTGTAACACCAGAATATTTTATGAATAGATGGATGAACATTGAGTATTAAACACTCAGTGAGGTAGCAGGTATTTAACAACTTTTAAGTACAGATTGGTGCAGAAGAAACAGTTTTCCAAAGTCCTACCAGAAAAATATCACCTCTGAGCTGCTCTACTTTACACAGATGTATGGAGACACAGGCTAGTTAATCTGGGGTATGAACAGAACAGAAGAAAGAAAGAAACAGCCCAAATAGAGAATATTACAGCAACAGAATAACAACATGATGTGAACTTTTAGAAGATTTCCCAGAGGTATCTTCAGCTAGGAAAATCTGCACAGACAGGACCTTCACTTGGTTACAAAAGAGGCCCTCTTTGAACTTGGCCAAACCTGCCTTGTGTCTGGTCAGGTCAGAGTTTGGGTCTGCCTGACCCAACTGGCTGCCTCCACAAACACAAACGCTACAAGAAATGGCTTGTAAGAACACATGCCAGAGGCTGTCAAAGCCTCTCAAAAAGTTAGTTCATTCCACAAAGTTCAGTCCTGCATAACAACTGCCAAAATTTCATCCAGAAACTGCTTGCCCTGAGAGGTTAAGAGCATTGTGAAATCACTTGGACACATCCCTGATGGCTTCCAAACAACTGCAATATTGGCAAGATAACACCTGTAAATATTATCCATTAACTGGAGCCTCACTATTTATTGTTGGTTGTGTTTGAGCCAACCAAAACACAGGGGCAAAGTCTCTGCCCATGTTGATTCCCTGTTAGTTATAGAGTTGAGAGAGTCATGGAGCCCGGACAGCTGCTTGCCAAATGGCTCTTGGCACCAGTCACAAACAGAAGGTCAGCACAGCTTTAGTGAAAGGAACAGTCATTTCTGTCTGTCTGTCTCTCTGTGAAAAAAAGGCTTCTCAGGGAGCCCTGCTTTAAGCAGGCAGCACTGACAGCTTGCAGAAATAAAAGCCCAGGTAGCTAAGGGGATAAAGGAGGCTACTTTTCATATCCACACCAAACTAGAAAACAACCTGCCCATGCATGCAAGTCCTCACACCTGGAAGAGAAGAAATCTTCCTCTCAGGGATATTCTCTTTTCATTGAGATTTCAAATGGAAAGAATTAAGTAAACATTGAGCACAACCCCTCATTGCCTACTATAAACCAGAAGGAAAAAGGGAATAGTCATCCTTTTTTCTGAGTTTTTCTAGATGGGGGGAAATTGCTACAAAATTCTCTGAGCAGAAATTCTGCTTCAGAAGTCCAAGCAATTTTGTGTGGTTCTACTTTATCCATTTTCCATCCATCTTACTGGAAATCAAGAGCACTAACATGCACAGCTACAGCAGAATGGCTTCTTCTTGCACTTTAACTCTTTTATCAGGGTGTATCCACTTATCACTTTTGAACAGGTCATCAGAGAACATCCACAACACAAACCAAGCCTGCTCATCACTTGTACACATTTCACTACAGATTGCCAAATGATTGCAACTGTCCCAGGAAAACTAAAATTAACTTTGGTGCACTACTCTCTCAACATTAGAAAAAAAAAAAGATTGAAGGAGAGAAATTTGTCCTTTTCTCTGGAGGGTATAAGAAAGGGATCCAGATTTCATCACTTTCATATGCTGTAGCTAAACCCCAACATCCTAGGAAATAAAAGTTCTGTTATTGTCATGTGCCTACAGCTGACATCCTCAATTTGGGGTTTTTTCGTTTAGTTTGGGTTTCTTTGGTTTTTTTGATTGTTTGGTGGTTTTCTTTTTTGTTTTTTTTTTTTTTGCTTTGGTTTTTGTTTTGTTTGTTTGTTTTTTTTATTTCCTGTATTTCTAAATGTAAAATGACACTTTCTGCTTTCAATATGACAAAAGTATGATAGCGCTCCCAGGTCCATTAAAACTTTGCAAGTTACCTAAAGAACTGGTAATTTATTTACTGGGGATGTGTTTTCAGCTCTCCCTGAAAGAGAAGGGCTATTTTGTGTCATCTTTCCTTATGCTTTCTGTGTAATCATTTTGAGAGACAACAGCAGGAAGCCATGCCAGCAGGCCTTTTGCTGCCATGTTAACTGACACTGGTAACAAAAACAAAAAGACAACCCAACAGATGGTCCACATGCTTACCAGTATATGAAGGTGCTGAAAATGGCCACACTGATGACACTGAAGGGCAGGAAATGGACTATATAGGCCACAAGCATTTGCCATTTCTTATACAGGCCATCTTTACTTTCTTGGTCACTGATAGCACGTAGAGCTGGGACTGAATTAAATATATAAGAAATGAAGTAAATTATCATTAAACAGAAAGAGCAAGACTTGTTGCTAGCAGAAATGATCTGAAGCACAGGGACAACTTTGAGAATATATCACAAACATTTTGCATAAATTACTCTGATCCCTTTTTCCCTCACTGTAAATGCAAAGTATGCTCCCTGCAGATTGCAAACATTGGTAGGTTTAATGAAAGAGGCCTAACTTATCAGCATGCAGGACAGACTTCTTTTTTTTGCATATACAAATTAAGGACATGAGAAAACCTCTGTCATTGGTCAATTTATTGAGGCACTCTGATTTCAAGCTGATGACAGCAGTGTATGGTCTCTACATGAGCAAAACAGTTTTAGGGCTGTAAAAAGAAATTACTGTTGCTTTCAGTATGGCACCTGTAGGAGAAAAATCCTTTTAAAAAATGTAATTATCACATAATAAATCCAATTATGCTTAATTGCTGTCAAAGTTGGTTTGTATTTCCATCTTTTCCATGTGTCTGGTTTTGAGCTCACTTAGGTATTAGCTAGACCTAGACCTTGTCTTGCCTATAAAGTGCTACACACAGGGAAATCTTTTGCACAGTTTAGAATAAAGCCTTCATAGACAGGCCAGCTATAAAAAAGAAAGGCAGGGATGAGGGCATATTCCCTTAAATTCCATTGAATTTTGTGCTTCTGTATCAACTCTGACATTACCTAAGACCAGTGAAGATCCTTTAAATTACAATCTTCAAAAGAGACTTTTTCTTATTTAAGGCAGAGTGGCAGCAGCACCTGCTGCTGCACGTAGGACAGGACAGACAGACACTCACACAGGGCCACAGCATTGAGCATCCCTGTGTAGGGGGGGGCACTCACACACTGGTAGACAAGCCCCACCCGGTCCTGCACGGCTCCCTGGGTCAGGTCATTGCCGAGCCTAAGAAGGAAAACGGCTACAAACAAGCCGAACAGCAGGTTCTGCAGGAGGCGCATGATGATGCCTATCTTATCTCTGGAGAGATTTCTCGTTGTTCTCCTGAAACAAAACAACAATAAAAGGCTTGCTAGCGACAGCTGAACACATGTTGGTAGGGTATTCAGCTTTGAACAAATCTTAGACACAGTGCCCACAAAGAGCTAATATATTAAACAAGACAAGGGACAAGTACAGTGGGAGATCAAATAACCAAGGAAGTGCATCTATACATGGAGGGGAAACCTCAAAGACTAGTGGAGAAGGAATAAATATTTGCTTCAAAAAGGGGGGCAGGGGAAGTCTTACCGTAAAAGAATCAGTATTTGCTCAAAGCAATTGGGTGAGTCTTTGTTTTTGAATGGTATTGGTGGCAGCTCCTTCATGTACTTTGTTTTTTCAATGGCTGCCAGTACTTTGCTAAAGATCTCTGAGTTTCTATAGGCTGATACAAATTCCTGAACTCTACTGTAGGTTTCAAGTTCGTGTTCCTTGCTTCGGGTGTCCACAGATGTCAGATCCACTGTAAAATGACAAAGCTTTTACTCTATATCCACATCACCTTCCCTTCATACCTTTTTCCCTGTGCAACTAACTTCTTCTTGCATCCATTCTAAAATATGCAAAGATGAAAAGGTCAATTTAAAGTATTCAAGGCTTCTCTCTCCCTTCTGTTAAGATGCAGTAGGAATTAATTAACTGCAGCCACAAGAAATCTGTGGTTTGTGACCTCTGTAGGACCCTGCAGTTCAGATCCTTAATCTGGAAATGCAAGGCCCAAGCACTGTGCTGGTCAGACCTTTAGCACTCTCCTCGCACAGAACAGAGTTGCAGAGAGCAAGACAAAGCACCAGAGGATGAAGATTCCTGAAGATGAAGAGACGACTTATCTGGTCACATATTTCTCAGGTTTTCAGGCAAATGCTCAGACGTGGCTCCACGGCTCCCCCTTGTCCTCTGCCCACTCCTCCCTAACTATGGATCTGCATTTTCTGCTTAGTGTGAACTCACACTGTAGAGACATTGCTCTTCTCTCCTTGAGCTGCTAATGCATTGTTGCACTGGGTTTCACCTACCTCATTTGCAGACATACTTTTAATGTGAAGTTAGAGGATGTTCAGCTGGCCAAATTCCCCTACCAGGCTCAGCCCAAGCTGAAAGAAGTAATACTGACTGCCATGGAACTCAGGAAAGGTAACTATTTCACAGAGTTAATGTTCCTTTCTAATAAGCCCACCTAAACATACTCCTGGCACCAGCAATTCTTTTGCTGGCAGATGGGAAATTTGTGTGCTCCATTTTTACAAGTCACACAGATTCAGTAATAGTGCTAAAAAGCCTTAGAAATTTCCCTTTTCCCTAACAGCAATGAATTAGCCAAGGTTTTGAAAACTGGATTGTTGTTCTCAGCAATATTTGTTCTTGCCCAATTTTATATTACTCTTCTACATCTGCTAAGAGGTCTTCATCAGTTATTTATTCCTAAGGTTTCTCTCATCTTTAGATTTCAGTTTTGCAATGCTCTGTTCAACTTCAAAATGTAAATTCAACAAAAGGAGGTCTTGTCCAAGATTCTTAAGTTTCCTCAAAATCTGAATTAGGTTTATGAATAGTTCCCTGGTGTTCTAAAAGCTGGAATTCAGCAGAATTGTCTTTAATGGTAAACACATCCAAAATGAAGCCTCTGCTTTTACAAATGTGAACATCTGAAATGCAGAAACACTTTTTGAAACTTGGCCAGTGTGACTTGCTGGAAGTCACACAGGAAATAAATGGCAACTGGGTGTGCTATAAAAGAATTGTAAGACTGACTACGAACTAGACCAACCAACTAACACCTACCATGCATTAGTACTTTTTGCAAACATGTGACAGTTCAGCAATATAATCCACACTCAATACATAGGATATATTTTCCTCTGTTGTTGGTGTAAATGATATCAGAATCTGTCCCTTCATTCACATCAAATCACACAAAAAAAATATAAACTACCAATTTTCAAAAGACTAAATATTCTGATGATTCTTTGCTCTAATCTGTATTTTTTTCCTTTCTTGTCACATTCAAAGGTTGACATTTGAAGAATGCAGTACTTCTTTACCAAGCTTTTTTAAAAGTGGGTCTAAATCTCAAATCATCTCTGCTTTTCAAGACTATTCAAATTCATGAAGGCAAAATTATCCTCACTGTCATACCTGTATTTTCAGCTTTATCCCATTCCAGCTTCATGTCAACAACCATCCTCTCTTCTCACTGAGTTAAGAATGCCATGCAGACAATAGGAAAACACTGCCTGCTCTGAATGCAGCTTTTTGAATTGGCCAAATTCTCTGGTTAGTGCTCAGCTAGTACTGCCAGAAATTAACCTAACATGATGGATTTAAATAGAGTTATGTACATGGCTGCACACCTGTACTCATACAAACACATCCACATTCTCCTCAAACCTGTGCCTGTATGGATGAGAGACATGGATGACAGACATGGATGCCCTCCAGAAAAACCAAGTCTCATTTCCAAAGTCTCCTGCTGACCCTTTTTTTTCACCCTGAATTGGTAAAACAATACTCTCCAGCTTATGCCAACAGCCATAATCATCTTGCCATCATCATGTCCTGAAGCACCCATTCTGTTCCAGTTGTCCACCCTGGTATTAGCAACTTCCCAAGACTTTCAGAAAGCTCAAACTTAGAACTGCTGGAAATTGATGCCTCAAGCCATCCCGTATTTATTCTACATCCTTCCCTCCACACAACACTTTCAAGTTGCTTGGCATCACAGAGTCTGGAGCAGCATGGGATTTTCCACAATTTTGGAATCAAAATAATTTTCCAACATCCAGTGCACGGCCATAGCGAAATGCCATCAGGAATCCACAGGTTTCATGAAGCTGAGATTCTTTTTTTAGTGGTAGTTTACTCCTTTACTGCAAATATGGCTATTTGATGGAGTCATTAGGAATGACATGGGAGCAGCCCCCTCTCTGAGCTGAAAACAATTAAAAAGTTAGAGCAGAATTCAAATACATTTCTATCTCTGGAAAAACTTTAACTTGGGGAAAAAACCAAATTGTTTTACCAAAACAACTTAGACAAACTTACCATAGAAGTCAAAAGGGTTTGATTGTTCAGGACAAGAATAGCCACAGTCACTGAAAAATGAGATCATTTCCATAGGGCTCCCACAGAAAACCATTTCTCCAAAGCTCATGATGGCTATTTTATCAAATAACTGTTGGGGGAAAATGAATATATTAGCAGTATGTACTAAGAATCAGAGAATATGCTGACTTGGAAGGAACCCATCAGGATCATCTTGAGTCCAACTCCTGGCCCTGCATAAGACACCCAAGAATCACACCATGGGCCTGAGAGCATTGTCCAAAAGCTTCTTGAACTCTGTCAGACTTGGTGCTGTGGCCACTTCCCTGGGGAGCCAGTTCCCAACCACCGTCTGTGTGAAATCTTTTCCTAAGATCCAACCTAAACCTCCCCTGTCACATTTCAGGCTATTCCCTCAGGTCCTGCCACCAGTCACCACAGTGATCAGATCAGGAGTGCATTCATTCTTGAGTCCAGCTACTGTCTTGGTAATAGAAATGCTTTGATGGGAAAAATAGTTTGGACACATTCAAACTTCCTTACTGTATTTCTCCCAAAAGACATTTGTCCTTTCTTTCACTCCTCTCACTGGTGGTTATGCAAAATGACATATCTTTAAGCTCTAGTGGTTCTCCAAACTGTCAATGACAACAGCATACAGAGGTAATCCACAAAGAGAGATGTGGCTTTCTGACTTCACTCCTAATGCACCTTCACTTACTGACTGACCCCTTTGGTGCTTGATGGCCCCAGTCTGTAAAACCCCCAAACTGTTGGCAAGGTTATCCTGAAGGGCTTAAGGACTCTAACAGCACTGCTCTCAAGTGAACATTTGTCAGGACAAGATTCCCACCAGGTATAATCAATCCATAGTCTCAAGACACCAGGGCTGCTTTCAGTCCAGAAAAACACTGTTGCTCCCCTCTGGCTCCACAACCATTTACACTCCATTCAGTCAGCCAGGGGAGAGGAGTTTTGCATTCATGTGGCAGGTGGTGGATAAGAGCAAAGTGAGAAACAGTAATGGGAAGAGAGAAATGCTTTTCCCAGCACATACCCTGCATGGCAGGACTGGCCCACCACACAGCCAAGGTGTACCCACATGCCTTGCCATGACTTCTCCCACTGGGTTTGGTTTGGGCAGCTGCACAACACAAGTGTTACGCACACAGTCAGACTCCACACTATTCACAAGGCAACGTGTGCTAAGGGCCCTGTGACTGGGTCAAGGCCAGAGTTGCAAAGTTCAAGAGAAGCCTCTAATTAAGCAAAGGAAGGGAAAAGAAGCAGCTATGGTGGGTCTTGTACTTCCATCCAGAAAAGAACCTAAGTACTAAAAGGTCAGGTGGAAAAGCCAATAGTGAGTAGGTATCACCTACCCTGAAAAGTTCTGAGCGAGGCTGATGGATTGTAAGGATCACAATCCTGTCTCTGTGTGCAAGCCCTGAGAGAAGCAAGACAAGCTGGTTTGCAGTCAGGCAGTCCAGCCCTGTGGTTGGTTCATCAAGTAGCATCACCTCTGTTAAATGACAAGGAATAGCTTTAAAATTCAGGTAAATGAGGAGCAAATGGCATAGCTTCTGCCCTTAAAGCTAATTTGGCAAATAACATAGAAATTACTGGGTAGGTGAAGTTCCACACATAAAGCAGGGTATATACAGATATTGCCATGACAGGATCTTTCAGTTTTATTTAGTTTCAGTGGTTCTGTTTCAATAACTAGGAATAAGGACATTAAAAAATACTTCAGAGCATAATACTTCTTTTAAATTCATGTGAAATCTGAAAATTACCAAGATAGTTTTGATACATACATCTGCTTTCAAGAACAATAATGATAAATTTCAGCATTTACAAAATTGTAAACATAAGCAACAAAATTAGCTAGGATTTATATATTCTGAATTAAATACTTATATACAAATAGAATTTGTTATGAACAAACCAAGAATTGTTAAAACACAGCAGATGCAATTCCATAGATTGAAGCAGATGTTACTGCCTTTTCTTTATTATTTTATTGTACATGAAATGGAAAAAACTTATCATCAAATCCATTATTTTTATAGAGATGACACATAGCACACAAGAGGGCAATCCAACCTTGGTCAGAGTACGAGGGGAGGAGAGTTTTCACTCCAGGTTTATCTACACAGAATTACTAGAGTGTTTACTGTAGAGTTGAGTGAGCTCCTGAGCAGCAATCACACCCCAGGAGTCACCAGCAGCAAGCATGTACCTCGTGCTATTTCAGTCCCTCCTGCCTAATATGCAATTGTAGCACATCCACATAGCCACAAGGACTCCAGCATCCAATAAATACATGGTGTGTATTCACTCTGTGAGATTCTGGCACCTTCAAGAAACTCTCTCAAAACTGACAAAATTTTTCCCATGGATAATCCTTCCATAGTTACTCAGCTTTGATTTCCTTTCACTGGAATTTTTTTGGCACTGGAATATACATGGCACTCACACATACATAGATGAAGGGCAGCTACTCCGCTACAAGGCTCAGTGCTTGCACATGTATGGCTCTAATGTACTCAAAAATGATAAATAAATGGACCACAGGCAACATTTGGGAAGGGTGAACCCAGAAAGACTTAAAATGGATAAATCCAAGTCTAAACCTATGTTCAGTCCTTAAGATTTTTAATTTGTCTGTTTTCCAACTGATCAACTAACAGATCAGTGGCTGACCTCAGTAACTGCTTATTCTTTCCTGTCATCACCAGACTGGCTTCTGCTGAATTAAAGAATGCAGATGCTTTTGTATTTTAAAGTGGTTTACAGGGGCCTGTGGTAGGAGCACAGTGACACAGCCTTGCTTTATTTTGAGAATGCATGCAGTGGTACTTACTGGGATCTTGTAAAAGCTGGGCTGCAACTGATACCCGACGCCTCTCACCCCCAGAAATTCCTACAACATTCCGGCTTCCAATTATTTTGTCAGCAATGTCGCCGAGACTCAGCTCAGTCATAACTGCATCTACCTAAAAAATAATTGCAATTTCAAAGCAATTGAGAGCAAATTCAAAGCAAAACTAAGAGATAATCCACAAAGGATACCTGTGTGCAATGGCAAAAAAAAAAAAAACCAGAAAAAAAAAGACATAATTTTAAGTTACAGCTTTACCAATATCCTGCATGCATCCATTCTAGTTGCACGGTATCGGGCCTAATTTCTATTTGATTATTTTTAATACATTATTTAAATTATTATTTTTTAAAATTTTATTTCAATGTATTTTGAAATGAGTCAATTTTAGCCTCACTTGACACTAAGAGATTAAGAGTTCAGAGGTATCTAGAAGTTAAGGTATGGAGCATAATTGGCTCTGGCTTCCAAAACCAGGGAGCAGGAAGCACATCAATTCTGGGAAAGTAAAAAGTACTGAGTGGGAGACTGGGGAAGAGAGAAGACAGAAAGAAAGACCCTCTGGTCAGGAATATCCAGTTTTACTTTAAACAGAATTCAAAAAGAGTCCTTTAAGTAAATCCAAAACACACTGATTTCATCAAGGAAGTAGCTTGTAGGAGGCTTAGCAGACCAGTGCTGTTTTGAGCTGTTGTGGTTATGAGAGATATCCTACAGGAGACAGAGTGGTGCCAGAATCAGTAGTGCTGTCCATGAGAACCAGCACACATGGGCCAAAATTCCCCAGAGAACTGAGGCTCCCCCTGGGGAAGGCGAACTGACCTCAGTACCAGGACCAGCATCTCCTGCAGGGGTAACTGCTTCAGCTTGGGGTGGGAGTTCTGTCCCACCATAATGGGGGCGTCCTGGGGCACCAGCACAAGCCCCTTGGAGAGGTGGGAGCACCAGAAAGCTTGTGTTCCACCCCTCAGCACGGGTATTTCTACCCATTTGAAGAATGAGGATTAGCAAAACCTCATAAACATAAAACACAGCCATGGATGGAAAGTGCTGCAGGTGAAAACACTACATGACATCCTGTATGACTTTCTGGTGGAAGACTGTAAAATACAAACCTTCTTTTTGATGGAGCTGTTGGAGCATTTCTTAAGAGTTAGTAAAGCTGTGTAGGTCAAAGACTCCTGTACAGTGAGAAAGCTTAACAAAGTGTCATTCTGAAAAAAAAGTGAAGAGGAAGAAGGAGTTAGTTCTGTAGTAATTAAAATTTTGTCCCTCTTCATGCAAGCCTAACCATTCATACAGCTTATTAACTGTATGATCTGTCCCAAATTTCCTTGTAAAACCACATTCACATTACACTACTCCATTACGCTAGCAACTTTTTTTTACACAAAAGGAAGCACAGTACACAAAAGATAAATGTAGAAATCAACCTGTGGCACGTAAGAGAAGCAATCTCTGAACTGCTCCCTCTTCAGGTGACGCCCATTCACATACACTTCACCAAAGAAGTTGTCTTTATGTCCCAGTCTGCCTGATATTGCATCCAGAAGTGTTGTTTTTCCAGATCCTTTCAAACAAAAGAAATTAATCATGTGCTGAGATGAATTTTATGATTCCAAGAGTGGTAGCCTGACTTGGATGGACACATCCAAAAAGTACAAAGTTGGATTTTTTCCTCAATAACTTTAAAATAATAGGGCCTGCAAATGCAGCTAATTCAGGGAAACTAAATAGGAAAATTGGAATACAAATTAGCATTTAAATAATAAAAAATTCACACTCTGCAGTGAAACATTTGAGTTTTGAAGTAACCTTGTCTGTTATTGAAGTTATAATTGTTAGTTAGATGACAGAAGACTGAACTCTGAAAACCAAGCACCATTTTTACAAAGCAGAAGTTAAAATCAGCCACAATTTCTTTATTTAAAACACAGACCTCAGTCACATGCATGTCACTATGGAAGTCACCAGTATTAACTGTGATCTTTTTTTGTTTAAAGTACTGGAACAACTTACCAGAATTTCCTAAGATCCCCATAATCTGGCCACTTTCTATGTGAAATGAAACATCCTTAAGTATTTGCCGGCTCCATTTTTTACAATATAATGAAAAGTTCCACCACGGGCCAATACGCTCTCTTGGAAAACAAACACCAATCAAACAATTAGAGAGAGAATACGTAAAAATTTTGCATAAAGCAAGTGAATGGTTCACAGCTACCTGCGTGTGGGATGGGAGCTGCAAGGACTTTAAAATATGGGAAAATAAAACTTAAAGTCTTTTCCCCCTTGTCCTTTCCCCTCCCAAGGCTTCAACTTTGGCATTACCTGGAAGATAAAATGAGATCTGAGCACGATTTTCAGAACGATTGCTAAAAAGCTTTTGGACTACAACCAAAAGGGCAACCATGAACTGTGGCTTTATTTGCTGATGATGTTTGCCAGGGTTAATCCACCCGTCCCTTTCCTTAGGGCCTCGTGTTATCCCCCTGGCAAGAAAGGCACTGGGAAAGGGCACTTTTGGAAATCACTAAAGCACGTCCTTCAGAGAGGCGTGAAGGGGATGCGGTGGGGCTCCGGAGGCTCAGCCCTGAGGCACCATGAGGGAGGCCCGGCACCATGAGGGGGGCCCGGCACCATGAGGGAGGCCCGGCACCATGAGGGG